TTCTAAATGCAACTTTTATGTCTTTCTTACAATTCCACAAGTTAAGGATTGTCAAAACGTGTAATTTTGGGCCTGTTTAGTTCGTTGATTTGAATTTTTAATTTGAGTTGAGATGTAATTTTATATGAGAGCTTTTTACTGTAATAAAAAAGTTAAATGTGACTGTTTGTGAGAACTTTTTACTATAACAAAACTCAAATTATAAACTCGAATTAGCGAAATGAACGAGACCTTTATCTTTCTCCGATATTCTATATCAACTAAACGTTATGGTTAAAACTTATAGAACCTTCCCTTAAAAAAAAAAACTACAAATATCAATGACAATGGTAAACATTGTAAGGAGTGCAAGTAATAAAATAAAGTACAGTTGTGCGAACATAAATGACACGTATGGTTTTTGAATAGTCTATTTAAGTAACCGTTACTATTACTTTTTTCCTTTTTTTTTCCCTAAAGGATTAATATATTCACATTGTTTTGTATTGGAGAACATAGTCGTTAGTGTATACCGTTATACATAAGTACATAACCATAGCAAAAAAAAAAAAAAAAAAAAAAAAAAAAAAAAAAAAAAAAAAAACAATCGCATTGATCATATTTTGTTTTTTAATCGGTTTAAATTGTACAAAAATACTTAAAAATGTTATAAATATGATACAATTGTTTTTTATATGACATTAAATTTTTAATAGTTTAGAAATGATATGTAAATATGTATAGTTGTGAAAAATCACTCATATAAGAAAACGCAAATAATTTGACCCTTATCTTATATTATAATTAATTAACATGTTGATTACTAATTGTAACTGATTGTATTACTATAAGCAGGTAACATCTCCACACTCTCTAGGCATACTCTCAAGGTCCGAACCCCCAAGCCTCGGCCGGTTCCGCCGGGGCTACGACAGGGCCATTTTCACTCCGATGCTCAAGTTCCTCCGAGACACCAAATCGCCATTCATGGTAAACCCCTACCCCTACTTCGGCTACTCCCCGCAAATGGCGAACTACGCCCTCTTCAAGCCCAACCGCGGCGTCCGAGACACCAACACCGGTATCACCTACACCAACATGTTCGACGCAATGCTCGACGCCGTCCACTCGGCCGCCAAGTCCGTCGGCTACGGGGATGTCGACATCGTGATTGGCGAGACGGGATGGGCCTCGGCCTGCGAATACCCGGCGTGTTCGGTGCAGAACGCGAGGGATTACACTACCAACCTGATAAGGCATGTGAATTCTGGGAAGGGCACGCCATTGATGCCCAACAGGAGGTTTGAGACTTATCTGTTTTCTTTGTTTAATGAGAATCTTAAGCCTGGTCCCACGGCTGAGAGGAACTGGGGGCTCTTCCAGCCGGATTTTACTCCGGTTTATGATGCTGGGATTTTGCGCAATGGAGTGCGGGTAAGTTTAATTTCTGCATTATAGTTACTTAAACTAGTAGATGATAGTCATTTGATTTGGGGAATGGAAACACCTCTTCGCTATAGCGTAACGTTTTAAAGTGCAACAAAAAAAACAATGACAATTAATAAAATTAAATTCTTATTACGTCACATCATAATAATTTATATATTTAATGAGTAAGTACCCTTAAAACGTAACTATAAAAACGCGTTTTATATACATATATAAGAAGGCAGCAGAGAGAATTTGTTATAGTTGTGACCTGTTCTCAAAAAAAAAAAAAAA